AGATGATACAGACATGGCAGAAATAAGTAGTGCTGGGAGCTAGGTTCAGATAGTGCACTCTGGAATTTTAAATAACAGGGAAAAACACTTTGGATACATTCTACGTATGTACTTTCTTTTGGGTCTCTGTAGCTCCTCTTTACTCTTCAGTCTTTAGAGAACCGCTTCATTATAAACATAACTTGAAACACACAAACAAACAAACAAGTAATACCTTACTGATACCTATTTCAGAATCCTTTTAATCCCAGAGATTTATTTCTTTTCCATTCTTTCACCTCACTAATCAAAATGCTCCAGGAAATAGTCCTTATGGAACATGTGGAAATAAGAAAGAGTGCCTAAGTTTTACTTCCACTGCATGTCAAAACAAGCATTAGGTGCTTAAAAAGACAAAGCCAACACTGGGATTCTAAAAAATTACATTGATTTTTACCATCCGCGCTACTACCAAAATACATATAACAGATTCATCATCCTACTGAAGAAATGTAGCTGTACAACACAGTTTTTCCACCAGAATAAAACCAACTAGTATTCTCTATCCACTCCCCCCAAAAAATAAACCTTGGCTTATGGCATTTTATCTCCTGAATGAATGGGTTTACATACACTCAACTACACTGAAACAAGCTGTATAACCTGATCACAGCAAATTGACAGTGAAATAGGAGTTACTTCAAATGCCAAATCATAAAGGTCTTGGAGACTAGAACAGAGAATCAAGATGACATGATTACAAAACCAGCACCAAATAGCTGGCTAAGAAAGAAGAACAATGATAGCATCCATGCCTGGAAAAGGTTTGAAGTCACAGGTATTCAAACACAAGAGGAGAAAAATTTGGGGTTCTTGACAGGAAAAATATATAGAGAGAGAGTGCAAAGGAAAAAACTTTCCTTTGACACAAAGACAATAGCAAATTCATTTAGTCAATTTGCTAGGTACTCATCAGTGAAGTTTAGCTAATGTTCTGGGGGAAAAAAAGAAGGAAAAACAAGCTACAGTGAACAGACATATACAGTGTGTCACAGCAGTTAGAGATAAAAAAACATCTCTGCTGTTATGCAACATGCCCTTTGTCAATGCAGAATTAAAGAAATGTATGACACATTGGCTACATTGGCTTTCCCACTTATATAACGCTGCTTGCTGCTTCCCTCCCCTCATTCCTTTTTTTTTTTTTTTTTTTTTGTAAGGAATAAATTCATTATAAAGGTCTTCCTCAAAAGAGAAGGGGGAAAAAGAAATTAATGGCTTCCCCAAACTGGCCTAAAGGGACATGCAAAACCATAGATAATCACTTGCTAGCCCTCCTACTGACCAAGTTTGGACTTTCTGCACCAACAGACTTGACTCCTACTCCTGCCAACATCATCTGACTCCAGTTCCGAGGATCACTTACAGAATTAGACATCCTGGCACATTACCACAAGTGTCAAAACTTGACCCTTACAATGCATAAAGGATCGATTCACTAAAAAATGTAGGCATATATTAATTTCTGTTGAAGTCTACAGGTCCTAGGCATGAATGTTTCCTGGAAGAGGAAAGTCTGAAGAATCTACAAAAAACTAAGTATTTCTTAAAACTCTACTGAATTAGGAGTAACCCTGGGCTTTCTGTACATGTTACTCTTTCCACAACAGTGTAATTCTTGGCACTAGGTAAGAAGTATCCAGCACTGTGCTTGACTGTTCCTCATAAAAGCTGATTATGCTCCCACAGCCATTTAAAGGAACGTATGAAATACTCACCTACACACCTACTTTTTTTTGTTCATATTTTACAGTATAGAAACATTAATTTACAATAAATAATAAATCTGGCAAAGGAACAGTAATTTATTACTTTCAAAATAATTTTAGCCACTCAATTTGCGCCCTGGTCGCATGTGCAGAAGGCTAACTGCCAGCAGCGACTGAAGCACCAGTCGCAAGCATGGGATTTAAGCTGGCACTCTTGTTAGAGCTGAGGTAATTTAAGAGGAATGTCAGCATGCATTTACTTCTCAAACTTTATTACTCTGCTTTAAGAAGAGAAAGAATGCCTGCTATTGTCATTTTTTAAATATTTACAAAATCTGTGGTATCTGGCTTTAGTCCTGCAGAATTAAATTCAAAACTCTAATATCTCTTCTCATTGCGTTTGTAAGGAGATAGAAAATAATAATCACAAAAAAAAAACAAAACACCAACCCACATTTAGTGAATACAAAGTTTTGAAAGAGAAATGTGAACTATTCTTCACTCTAGACAAAGTTCAAGGCTAGTGTTGAATTAAAAGGAGCCACATGTGGACAGCTCTGCAAGCTATGAGCAGCTGTGAATTTGTCTGCCTTTGGTACCCAAGCCATTCAAACCCACTTTCCTTTGAACATGCAAGTTCCTACCATGGGATAAGCATCTCAAGCTAATGGGTTCTACACCAGTTGCATAATTTTAATCCTAAATCAGAGGCCATGTTCTAACCATCCTGTCAGCAGGCTAAATTTCCCTCTCTTCTTTTGATAGAGAACAATGTAACCTACTTTAAAATAATCTTTATTTCTCTTTAAAGAGTAGGATGAAGGAAACTGACTCAGTAGCCATTTGGCAGCAACCTTTTCTCGCAGCATAGGGATGTTTAAAAAACCAGCTCTGTACCATGAAGGCCTCCCAGTGTCATCTCTAACAGACATGTATTTTATTATCACAAAAATCCAGGGAAGAAATGAAGAAGCTGAGCAGAATAAAGCAGCACCATGGGAACCATGTGAGAAGTATAGAGGCAATGTATTCTTTGGCTTCACAAATAGCAGGCAACAGAAAAAAAACACTTGATACCTTTCCTATTAAACCAAATGCTTTTCTAAACACTGTAGTCCAAGCTTGTAATAGGAGTACTAAGGATGAAAATAAAAGCCCATCCTGTCCCTTTGGAAAGGAATTACAACATAGTGAACCAAACGAAGTAACAACAGTTTATCTGCTCTATCCCCATCCTGTTCTGACTAATGCCTGCTATTAGGAAGGCACACTCCTCAGGTGGTGGTGCCACTCAGCCCATCTTGTCTCAGACAAGGCTCTCAAGAAGATGCCATTTTGAGGTAGACACCTGTCCACTGGCAACAAGCATGAGAGCATCAACTCATTTTAAGCTGTCCAACATGAGGCTATCACATGGCAGCATCTTTCAGCCACTACAAAACTTGCTTCCAAACTGAAATAGCTACCCGGAGGTGAAAAGCTCCATATCACATTTCTAGTCCCCATACCAGCTAGTCCTCTCTGCAATTTAGGGTTTTTTATTGTAACAATTTATATAATTTTTCCTGATCTTATGAGTCTTGCTCCCTTGAAGAGGTTTCCCAGATCACTCAATTTTTACTTTCATCTCCCAAGGATTTTTTCCAATGCATGTGAGAACTATTCTGTTGCTCATTATCTATTTGGTAAAACATACTTCTTAAGGAAAAAGGTCAGATAAAAATTGGTATAATGTGGAGCTCTAGTGGTAGTGGGGAAGTAAAGCAGTGCATAACACCAGCTATGAAAAAGTTGATACTGACCTTTAGTATGAAAACAGTAATTGAAACACTGTAGCATATTAAGTAAGGAAGCAGAAAAGGAAGAGAGCTTTGCATCAAATTCAACACTGTTTCAGGCTCACAGAACACATCTTTACATACAGCATAACCATCAACCCTCGTTTTTAGTGCACAAACATGAATCTTGTAATTATTGCAGTTAAGCAACAGAAAATATAAGATGAACACTGTATGCTCATGTTAGCCATAAAGGAGAACATTATACAGAGGGCAGGAAACCAATGTTCCTTACCAAAACTGTCTGGGAATTGAGTAATTCCATGCACCCTTTTAAAACAGTCCTAGTAACATATACTGTCCTTTTCATGTTAGCTATGGTAACTCTTCTAGCAGCCAGTCCTCTCCTCCCAGATGTAGCATCATCAAAATACTGAACCAACCCTTGTAGCCAGCTTTAACACCTAGACTTGGTACTCCTTTCAGACTGATGAGTTTAGCAGGAATCACATCCTAAACTGGAAAAGCTTCTTCCTTATACACACAGTACTATCACACATCCTATTGGCATACAAAATGAGCTCAATGCTTGTTGACAGTTCCACCTATAAATGGGATGTTTTTTCATACAGAGTGGCAGGATACATCAAGCACACAGTGCATCTAGTGTGCTTCATCACACAGAGGATGCTGGAATTCCTACATCACCCTGTGAAATACTGGTATTATTTTCTTAACTTTTAAGATACCATTTGAACTTGGGTATATAGTAGCAGAAGTTTATAAACAATAATGACAGTTTAATGGCTAAAACAATATCAGTAGTTATCACACTGTCAAAAAGCAGCAAGAAAAACATAGGAAACATTGCAGTGTGTGCATATGAACAACCGATCCCAGTATTAGGAGGCCTGTTTCCAAAGTCAATCAACATCACTGGTTGCATAAACATTTCTGAACCTTCTTCTATGAAACCTGCAATCCCTTGCTAGGGGAACTGCTTTCATCCAAGACTACAGAAAAATGAGACTGAAAAGCTCTTGTATATATTACTTCTAACTTGCAGCAGACTCATTACAATCCATGTTACAAATTGTTCAATATTTTTACTAGGAACTTTTGTTCCACATCCCAAGCTAAGCACACAGTGCCTTGATTCAGTACTGCCCTATCTGAGGGAGAATATATTCCTTCTTGCTGGGATAGATCATTAACTTCTTTGTAAGTGTTATGGTTTGGCATCACCCAGCCTAACCAAGGCTTTTAACTAGCAGTAATTCCAACCTAGTGTCACAGTGGAAACAGATGATTCTGGGCTTTACACCTTTCCCCCAAGGTAGAGCTGTTGATTGAAGAGGCATCCCCCAGATCTGACTTAGGTGTATCTGAAAAACACTGGATACCAAGTCCCTCCCCATCCTCCCGCTCCGAGTGACAAGCCTCAGAGAGGCAGTTTCCGTGCTGTGTCCATTACCTGGTGGGCAGTTGCACTCTGGAGGCGCTTCTCTCGCTACTCGTATTTTTGCCAAGTGCTCGTAGGATTTCTGAGGGGGAGAGAAGCAAAGTGAGGGCCTCTGGGAGCTCACCCGCCGCAACCAGCGCTCCCGGCCGGCGGGGGCGCGAGCGGGGAGTTCGCGCTATCCCACGGGCTGCGCACCCTTCCACGGCTTCGCCACTTGGCCTCCACCCGCGGTATCTCGCTGTCTTCTGCACCCCCCCAACAGCAAAACAGAGCCCGACGCCACTGACTCTCCCCTGCCTCCGACGCAAGTTCCGCCCCCCCCACCCCACCCCGCATGAGAACAGCACCGAGCGTTGGGGGTCCCCCAACGCAAAGCCCCCCGACCCACCAGCCCCAGCAGCCGGGCCCCCCCCTCCGACCTCCACCTGAAGCCTGCCTCTCCCCAGGCTCAGTCACCACCTGGAGGTACGGGCTCCATTTCCTTGCTTCCCCTGCGCCTCCCGCCCTCGGAGCAGCTCCGGTCGCCCCTCTCATCGCTTCAGGCGGCACTCCTATCGTCCCGCACGCATGACCCCCCATCCCCGGCATACTCGCTGGCCGAGAGCGGCCATCCGCGCCCCGCACACCTGGGCGAGAAGCCGCTCCACTTTCTCCTGCATCATCGCGTTCAGCTGCTCCAGGGAGAAGCTAGGAAGCGGCGGGAGCGGGGCGGCGGTAGAGAAGCCCCCTCGGGCTCCCTCGATGGCCGCGACCCTGGCCTGGAGGTCGCTGGTCCGCACCCCCAGGTAGACGCAGGAGGCGGCAGCCAGGGCGGAGAGGAGAGCCGCCAGCGCCGAGCCGCACGGTCCGGCCCACCGCGGGCAGCAATCCCCGCCGCGGCCGCACTGCCCGCTACCATCCCGTCCTGCGGCTCCGCGGCTTTTCACCAGAGCGCCTTTACACCCTTCGGCTGCGGCAGCTCTGATTTCCTTTCCTCCGCCCCCCATGGAAGCAATTAGTTTACAAACAGCGGCAACAAAAAACAGTAACAATAAAGTACGAGAAAAATAAATAGCGGAAAAGACAAAATAATAATAATAATAATAATAATTCAAAAAAAATAGCGGTAAGTAGAAGGAAAGCCTTCAACCGGCTCGCACACTTTCAAGGCGAGACTGCAGCCAGCACCGCACGCCGCCCGGCAGCGGGTCTCCACTCAGCGCCACAGCAGGGGCGACGGGGAAGGAGGTGATGGGAGAGGGGCGAGGAGCCAAAAGCCGGCAGCAGGGCTGGGCTAGGGGCGAGCCCCCGCGGCTTCCACCCGCTCTTCGGAAGGAGCAGCGTGCTCTGCTAGCGGTTTGCCACTTGTCAGAGAGGTTTTCAGACGCGGGGCGGGAAGCGTATGTGTGTGTGTGTGTGTGTGTATCCCCCTCCTTCTCCTCCTCCTCCTCCCGCTCTCCTCCCCGCCGCCGTCGGACTTGTTGCTCCCCCTCCACCTGCGCGACGGCACCCAGAAGCCGCGCCAGGCGGAGAAACCCGACGGCAGCCTCCGCGGTACCCCGCGGCCAGCCGCGGAGCCACCGCCCGGCCTGGCGGCCCACCTCCCTCCCTCATTAGCATAATATATTCACCTAGGCGGAGAGCGGGCCGGGGCGGGAGGCAGCAATCTCTTTAATGTATGCTCGGGACATTAGACTAAGAAATGAGGGTGCGCGGTTGGTGCCCCGCCACAGGATGGAGCGGGGAGAGGTGGGGGTACCGGGAGGTGCTGCGGAAGGGGCGGCCTGCCCCGCCGGGAGAGGTGCTGGAAAGCTGCTCTGATTTACGGCGGTTTATAGCCGCGCTGTCATGCCCACGGCACGGGCATAAAACACGGGAAGTGTTCCGTCGTCCCGGTTTTTTTTTAGAGCACGGAGGATAAATGAGTGTAACCCAGCGTTCGGATCCCAAGGAGCGCGCAAATGGGATGTGAGGGCTCACTTCCAAAAGAGCAGAATGAACTAGCCTCCCATTGCAGTCGGTTTAATTTTAGCTGTTTCTCTTTGTTTATTTACCAAGTAGTTTCTTCACCTTTTCATGCACACTAACCCATTTGCACTGCTCCTGGTGTTTGGCTAGAAAAGCAGCATAGACACCTCTTCAGCCCAACTGCACACATGGGCTGGTGGAGAGCTTGCTGGTTTCTGTTCCTTTCCGCTCTGCCTCTTACCTTCCAAATGCTGCATTTACCCGTTGTGGTTTGGTTCTCGTCTTGGCATAGCACCTCGTGTGGCATCCCTTGTGCCCAGCATTCAAACCAGAGAAGCTTCTCAAAGCAGGACAAGAATCAGGTGCACATAGCTCACCCTGGCTGGCATTTATTCATGTGAATACTGACTACTTGCAAGATACAAAGACTAGTGGAACGAAAGAGACTTGTTCAACTATGGCACTTCTCAGATAAGATTGAGAGTGCTAGTTTGTACAAGGAATCGAGTTTCCTTATGCAGTCATATTTGTGCAGTTTTATTACCTATTGTTTCCCAAGTATTCAAGCAATCACAAATGCCACGAAGACAAAGATCCAAAAAGCTTTGTGGGCTTCAGTGTAATTACATAGACTTCGAATAAAGCATACCAGAAGTTCATAGCTAGTCATTTATCTTTTGTAATTTGTCTTTCTCTTTTCTAAGAAAAAAGTTTTGTGGACTCTAGTCAGGCAGGAGAAATCATGGTTACACAGCCCCAGGTGATAATTTCTTTATGACAAACAGTTGACAGTTGCAATGGACAGTTTGCCCAACAAATTCCCCCAAGTGCCGCATACCTTATGACCAGGCCTTATGAATAACAACTGCTCTTTCCAAAACATGGCCTTGTCCACGGATTATCTGTTGACAATAAGAAGATGCAATGGTATTTAGAATGAATAATATGATAGAAGAAAACAAATAATACCAACATGTTCTTATTTGGGCTCCCTGAGAGTGGTATGAGCAGTCCCAGGATGCCTTGGAGCCACTGGCGGCCCGTGAGGCACTCAGAGCCATCGGCGCCAGCTCCAGCTCTTAATATTACCCCCTGCTGTTAGTAGCCAGTGCCATTACTCACCCCTGCTTGTGGTGACATCCAGCAGATACAGAGCTGCAAACTCTTGGGATATGATTATGATTTTATGCAGGGGGTTACTGAGGCGCTGCTGCAGGCAGGACAGCTGCCTGTGCCCTGCTGCTGCCATGCTCAAGTGTATGCTGCCTCATCTAGGACAGGGTGAAATTTCCTTCTGAGATCAGCTCTTCTTATTTATCTTCTTATCAGAGGATATGGACATCCTCTGGCTGCTTCAGTGCCTATACAGGGCACAGACAACTGCATACCCATGTACCACTGTGACCTGGGTCAATGTTTTGCTTGGCCAGAAGGTTCAGTCTTTCTGTCCAAGTACCTTTCTGTCTCAGCAACATGCCATCCATTTCTTTTGAATGTGGTATATTCCATATCAGAAATTAGCTACCCTGAGGCAGAAAGTCCCTTGTTGCATTAGATTTATATGTATCTGCTGTTGTAAAGATTGCCAAATGAGCCAGATCACAATGTTTCTGTTGGACACAATGCAAATTAGCAATTCTCCTCTTGCAGAAAACCATGGTGATTTTCCTGTTGTATTTATCCACCTCCCAGCAGGGCTGGCCCAGAATAGAATAGGCTGGACTACAGAATCTGAGCAGCAAGCTAATTGAAGCACAGTCTGATTAAATCTAGCACTGGATTTGTTCATGTAGGTGAACATAATGCAGCTGGTTTACCTGGTATAAAATTCTCTGGTCACGTCTGCCCAAACAGAAAGCATTAAGCAGCTGTACCCTCCCGTGTTCAGTTACTTGATACCATCAAGTGGACAACCAGCAGCTTTGCAGTATGCTTACCCCATCTAAACACAATAAACTGGAGAAAAAACATGTAAGACTCAGCCGTGCTGCTTTTGCCAGCTTTCCACAAGCGGGAGGCAGAGCGAATCCAGGACATGCATATGTTCAGTGCCAGTGAGCCTGCTTCTTATTTTGCAGCCATGATGATACCAGAGTCAAGAAGGCATCTACTTAGGATTGTAGCTAAGATTGAAACCAGATTGCTGTAGCACTTTTGAGAATGATAGCCATGCAAAGAAAGAACTGGGCTGTTGGGGGGGGGTTCCTTCTCTTAAAAATGATCACTATTTTTTACCTTTTTTTTTTAATTTATGAAGATTTATAGGTTTTGAATTAGCGTAACTTGGTCTAAGGAGTCAAACTCCTACTCCAGGAGTAAACCAGATGGCTGTAACCAGTAATTTAACTGCTTGCAGTCAGGAACTGTGTCTCAGAAATTGCTGGTCACACATAAGGTGATATACCATGCAAGGTCAGGTTACAAACCGCTTAAAATGCTTTAAAAGTCTATTTTGCATCTGGTAGCTAGAATAAAGCTGCTTGAAACAAGAACTGTACCCCAGATATATTGAACTGGCCATTAACACATGCAGGTGGAGTATAAGAAACGGCAGTTCTGCGGCACTCCAACTCAAACAGCAGCAAAAAGAAAAGAATTTTAACTAAGGTCTGCTGAAGAGCTTGTGCATGCAGACCCGAGGCAGCCACACTTCCCACCAGGAGGGAAGTGCTCTCACTTTGAAGATTCAAATCTCTAAATGCCACGTTTCAGCAGATCTTGTGCATGACCAGGCCCAAGGTATTGACACAAGATGCTACTGTTTGCTTTTCATGGGTCTGTGTTTGAAGATGTGGATGGTGTTTGCAGATAACAATTTTCCACCAGACAGAACTACTGTCTGGAGTTCTTTCCATATTTTTATGACTACAGCTTGCCGTATTCTGGCTGACCAATCCACAATCCACTACTGGATTTCTTTACCAGATACAACATAAACTCATAATTAGAATTATGCAGAAACAGATTGGTGAAAAATAAGCACCCGTCTGCTCGGTTTGTAAAGTATTTTGCATAAGGTGGTCAAGAAAGGCAGAGAATAAATAGTAGAAATTGGAATTGGGGACTCTGTTAGAACTAAGGTGACACACAGAAGCACAAAAGCTTGAATGGCTAATAATGGTCATAAATGCTCCAAGGTACCTTCTATTCCAAATGTTCCCACTTTCAAACATAGCTTATATAATATTCGTTATACTTGGACTTGAATTGTATCTGCATTCTACTGCTTTCACCATTTCTCTCACTCCTGCCCAGTTCAGCCTTTGAACTAGTGTGCATCTTGCACCCTAAATGAGATTCTACTCAACTTTTGTATACTTACATGGGTAAAATGCAAGCTAGAATCACAATCCAGCGCTTCTGTGACTTGCTTCACTTCTGAGCTCTCTGGCAGGTTAGATAGAACAGTATTTCTCACTGAGCTGTTCATAATACCTGCCAAGATAGCACAGAATCACCAAAGAAACCGCCAACCCAATAAAAACCTTAATTCACTGTTTTGGGAAAAAAAAGCTGGGAAAGCCTTTCACTTTCAAGTATCCAAATTGATTGCCTTCCGGCACTTTAAATTTAATATAAGCACATTAAAGTACAGTATACATGATGCAGTACACTAATATACTTAGCAGATGGACAACACTTGCTCGTGATTTAATACTTAGATATGCTCATTTCACATCTACTGTACAAGCACTTCATATATTTGAATCCTTAAGTCAGACTTATCTTCAGACTAGATGCAATTGAGTCACATGAGCATAGGATTTCCTTTATTAGTTCCATAACCTTACTGGTATTTTGGCAAACCTGATAATAAAATAAAAAAAAAATAAAAAAAAAAAAGAAGAAACCCCCCTTGCATCTGGATTTTAATATATTTCACAGGATTTTCTTTTTCAGCATGATGAAACCAGTTCTCCTAGACCTACAAACTAACTGATTCAAGACAAAATTCAGACTCTGTATGTCATTCTTTACTAAAATTCACAAGCATTTTTCATGTGAATGCATTACTAAACACTTCATAACAAATAAACCAGCTATCTTACATCTGTCATAGCTTCAAATACTTGCCTTAAAAGGGAGTTGGTGCTTGGGAAGCCTTGGCAAGAATTTTATTGAATTGAGAACCATTATCAGAAATAGGACAAGGAGACCAGACCTAAGAACCTCAGACTGAAAAAAGACATCCTTGCCCTGGCTCCAGGCCAATTAATATCCCTTGGTTCCCTGGCTTGTTTATTTGTATATGAACAAAAACCACTGGAATTCATCGGTCATGGTGAAAGGCTGGGAGGATAAGGTTTGGATGAAGAGATCCTGAGCCTGCAAAGTCCTATATTAACACATAACTTCATTCACATGAGTAGTCTGGTCTGAATCAATAGGATTAGTCATGGAAGTAAACTTTCACGTGTACTGGAGTATTTGGAAATATAAAAATGCCAAGATGAGGGTCAAGACATAGGATCCAGCACAAAAAAGCTAATTGC